AAGTATAGTCACTTAGATAGCATTGATCTAATGAGAAATCACAAGGTGATAGGTGGAATAAAAGTCTAAAGATTGTGGAGTGAGAAAATGAGGCAGATGCCACTCAATTTGCTTTTGTAAATTTACAAGGCATGTGATTTAATACCTGGGTGCAGGCCGACAGAAAATGATAAGGCCATCTGTGGGGAACAAAGAAAAGTGGGTCCCTTTTTGGGGTTGGAAAGAAGGCAAGGGATATTAGATGGGAAGATTTATGTTTGAAGAGAGGGAAAAAATTAGAAATAAAAGGTTTAAATCAGGCTAATATTACAGTAACAACAATTGATATAATGGGTATTGTAGTCATCACAGTAGTTACTCAGAGCCCAAGATATAGGCATGAAATAATGTCCAGACAATATTAGCACACATCTTTCTCTTTGATGAACAAAAAGAAACTAGCTTTATAACTATCTTAACTACTTGTGGGTGTGCATTTTCCCCCTTTTTTCTTTTTTCCTTTCCCCTTCACCCTATCAGTTTCTCTTTTATTTTAAAGTTTCTTCTCAATCCACAATATCTATTTGGATCTTACTTGCTCAGCTTCTCACACTAGTGAGACAATGTGAATGTTTAAAATATTGGTCTGATTTCACATATAAGTAGAGTCTCAGGTTGCATTGATTTACCTATAAAAGTCTCTAGTTTATCCTTCTTTATGGCTGAGTAGTATTCCATTATATAAAATACATTTTTTAATCCATTCCTCAGTTGATGGGATTTGGATTATTTCCAAGATCTAACTATTACAAATTGTGCTGTAATAAGCATATATGCACATATATCACAGTAGTGTGATGTTTTCATTCTTCTGGAAATATATCCAGAAGGGTAATAGCTGGGTCAAATGGGACTTGTAATCCTAGTTTTTTTAGGAATCTGCATACTGCTATCTACAGCGGTTGCACCAGTCTACACTCTCACCAACAGTGAAGAAGGGATCCTTTCCCCCCACAGCCTCCCCACCACTTGTTATTGGTGGATTTACTGATGGCAGCCATTCTCTCTGGGGTGAGAT